CCAGGTTTAAGAGAAAAATGGTGGGTTTTTAAACTGGCATCCAGTGGTTTGCTGTAGTTTTCCTGACTTTGTTGCTATTTTATTAGTCTCTTAGAATTTATTCAGTAAGACAAAATTCATCTCTTTGTCTAGCAGAAGGAGTATTTGAGATAAGTTCCAGAGACCTATCACAGGTGGTAGGGCAGAATGCTGCAGTCTCTTTCAGCAGTCTGTCTCCTTAGGCATCTGCTTTTCTCTAAGACAACTCAGCTATATGGAGTCTTGTGTTGCTGTTACTAGACTTCAGTGATCCCACCTAGTTTGATTAAGGTTATCCTTAATAGTCAGTGTAGCTAGATGGAACTCCTCAAAAAGTTATTCTCAAACATCACATGCAAAGTTAGATGACTATAAAGCTAAATAAACTGAAATAATGATTTAGTTCTTAAAGCAAAAACTTCTTTTAAAAATACACTAAAAATGTACTGAAATTAGGTTTGGTTCTGAAAATGTAGCTTAGAAAGGCATATTTTTTGAAAAAAATCAAGCCTGAGCTGGATTTGAATCCAGATTCCTTAAAAATTCATTATAGCACATTATTATTATTTAGAAATATTTCAAGTCACAGAACAGTGGTAAAAAGTATTATCCTATTCATTACATGATTATTTATTCTTTTAACATGCTGTGAACTTCATTGTGAAGAGAACATTACAATTAAACACGTTGAACAGAGCAGCCATAAATGCTCACACTAAGTAATAATGGTAATAGTTTGTATCGGGTGGCTGATATTAATTTTTGTGGAGTGATAATTTTATTGGAGAGAAAATTTCCAAGATGCAAACATTTATTGTCCTTTTATAGACAACTGTTTCAGTAAGTGTTTAGTAAGCACAGGCATCACAGGGAGAAAATTTTGTACCTCAGCTGCTGTCCTGCCTGTGGCTATAATGAAGTCTCTGTAGTAATCTAACTGTATTGAGTTAGGAAAAATTAAATTCTAATTGTCAACATAAAACCCAGCAAATTGTCAGTAAAAACATACTGACTTAAGCCTCATTGACAACAATGACACAGCTGTACTTTGTGGCCAAGAAAAAAAGCAGTTTCTTCTAAATTATTAAACTTCAAATCACATAAATTATGTAATCAACTGACTTTATGTACAGCTTGGTAGTGAAATTATTTGGTTGTGTTTTTTACTTTAAATTTTCAAGGGTGCAAAGGCATTTCCAGATGTCTTCATTAGAAAACGCAGTTTTGGAGTGTTATGTGCAATTTTACCTTCAAATCTAAAAGTTACAAGAAGAAAAATCCACAACAGAATAGAAAAAGGCATCAAACCCTCAGATCAGAATCTTGAAATCCCTCTTATTTGACACCTACATGACAAAAGTAGTCTATGATAAATATTTTTTTATTTTATTGTGAGGCACAGTTTGTTTAGTCTCCATCCTTGGGGTTGGACCAGATCATCTCTTTGAACTCCATTCTGTGATTCCATGACATATCCTAGCACAAGGCTCAGAAGAACCACACTCTCCAAATGCTTTTGAGCTGCCAAAGCAATTTTAGTAATCATCGCAATTATACTAAAGAGAAAGATACGTAAAATTCAACAAATACAAAATTACCCATGAGGTCAATAAGGATTTAGGCTGTTTTGCATGAAATGTACAATATATTGATGAGGCTTTTAACTGGCAAATGATTTGTGCCCCAGTGATTTTTTGTAGTAGGGTCAGTTGCTGACACAGTTTTGGCTGCCTTTGAAAAGCTTGAATGGCTAATGCCAAAAGGAGAAGAATTAGCAGGTGTCAGGTGTAGCCTGTATAAAAATTTCAGAGGAAATTTCTCTCTCTCTCCAATATTTAATTCTCTAGGAATGCATCTCTACTACCTTGTTAATCCCAGTCTTGATATAATCTCAGCCAAATGAAGATAATACAATATTTTCCTGTTAATTTTGGAAGTATTCTAGATTACCAAACTCTTGTAAAAGAGAAGGAACAATTCTTCTGCTTCAGCACAAACTAGAAGAGACAGCAAGAGCTTCATGCAAAGGTGCTTGGCATTTTAAATGCTTTCTAAGAAAATTCATTGGTTTATGGATCAGGCTTTTTCAAAAGATACAACCCACTTACTGCCATCTTCATATTTGTTTTTATAATGAGTTTCTTGATTTCATCCCAAGTCTTGATTTTAAAGCCAAGGCTGGGATGTAACATTTGTGTATTTGCTACACAAGAAATGCTATGAATTTTATAGCACTTCCTGCTCTGTGTGATGTATGTAGGGTAAGCTTTCAGCAAAAGTAATAGTTTCATAAAGAAAAGTAAAAGTTTCATAAAGAAACCAGTAACATTATTTTCTGCTCTAAGCTTGGTGCAACATATTGTGTGAGGGGAAGCAAAATGAATGGCCTGCTGTAGTGTCACACAAAAAGAGAGTTCTCCAAAGCATTACCTGTTGGCCAAGAGGTTGTGTTCCTTTCAGAGTGAGTAGGGAGAGACAGCTGGTTCAGGTAAATAATCTCTATGATGTTTTGAGCTATGGCTAGTCATGACCAGATTGCTTTTTTGATATTTTTTTTCCCTTTAAATGATGGTATGATGAATCTTCCTTGCTGGCTATCATTCTTCTGTATCTGAATCTCTACAGCTCATCCAATTCATTATCAACCCAAATGAATATTGAGTCTAGATGCTTTCATACTGTGAATTTATATTTTAAAGTACTTTTATGTTTTCATTCTTTCTATGAATTGAGGGAATAATGTACAGAGAATGTCTAGGAGTAGTGTTATGTTCCAGGTGACAGTTCCAACAGAAGGTAGGGGCCCCCTTCCAAGGGTTCAAGGTCCAGAGGGGCTCCTGCTTCAGCATGGGCTCTCCATGGGCTCACAAACTCTGGCCCCTCAGACTATTCCAGCATGGGATCTTCCACAGGCTGTGGTGGGGATTTCTCCTCTGGCTTCACCAAGGCTCACAGAGTGGAACAGTATACAGGGGGAACTGAGGGATGCCTGGCTGTGGTGATGGAATAAAATGTCATTGTATTTAATGATTGTGTTGCAAAGGGTCTGTTCCATGGGGCTATATTCATAGTTTTAGGACCAGTGCTACTTCTGACATTTTCATGGTCTGAAAGTTGGCTTTTCGGCTATTTCTTACAAACGTAATTTTTTCATAGGTAATATATAAATTTAAATCAAGAAAATGGAAATGGTGTAAAATTAACCCATTTAAATCTCAAAATTTAATTATACATCACATTTTTGTTACAATGACTGGCTAAATAATGTGTAGAAACTCATTATAAGGAGAAAGTTGATAAGCCGATTTGTGTACACAGGTTCTAGATTTATAAGGCATTTTAACACAATTAGGATGAAAACTGCCAGCATATGATAAGAAGATGATGCAAGTTCTTAAAACCTGGCCATACTTGACTTTGGGAGGATTGAGAAATGTCTTTGAGAGAAATTTTGTTTGTAAAATTCACTACATAAATAAACTGTGAAACATTGCATTTAATTGAAATTGACAGCAAAGAGAAATCATGATTGAAAAAAATAAAAATGACAAAATGCCTGTTTGCGAAGTTACTTAAAACCTGCTTATTAAATTCTTTATTTCTGTCTTGAATTATTTCAGTGATGTTATATATAGTGTGTTCTATGACTTATGGCTGTAATTATTCACTGTGAGTTAATTTATTCCATTAATATCTCATTCACTAGAAGAATGGTAAAACCTAAAGAGTGTTGATTTGGATAAATATCCAGCAACACCGATAATTACATGAATTTTTTTGAGCTTCACATTTTAAAAATCTTATAAAATCAACATTTCTTTGATCCTTCAAATGAATGTAATCTGGTTTTTATTTCTCATTGGATCAACTGACTCATTTTTGTGTATTTTTACTTTTTTTTAGTCAAAAGAAAGGCAGCTTTTAAGCTCAAAATTGATTTTTATCTGGTTTATAAGTTTGTTGAGTTTTGTGTGTGTTTGTTTTGGAATTTTTCATTTTGTTTTGTATTGTCTTATTCCTCCTGAGCACAAAGCCTATCAAAACAACATTTCCAATGGGCATATTAGAGAAAGAATTCTTACATATACAGAATGAGAATGCTTTAATTTAATTTTTAAGTCAAAGAGAAAATTTAATACCTTCCAGTCTAAAGGCAATGTGACAGCTGAAAATGAATATAAATATCTGCAAAAGACAGTTGTGAAGGAAAAAACATTAAACAGTTTTTATTAAATGGCACAAATACCTTTTTTTTAAGGAAGTAATAATTGAAAGTTCTTTAAGCAGTTTGCAAATAGTTACTGCTTGTTAGTGTGTGAGAAGAATTTAAACTAGTTCAGGAATTCAACAGATTATAACTGTATCCATCTCTTGAAGGGCAAAATGTAGTTTTGAGGAGGGTTTGTTTTTGTAAAAAAAGGAGGCATGTATAATTGCATCAATTGTTGATTTAATTTGCTAAGTATAATAAAAGACTGAAAACTTCATTTATGAAAGATGTATTTTAGAAAGGTGAGATTTTTCTTCTGCTTGTACAAGAGTGTACTGGCTTCAAGTTATATGAAGAAAATTGGCATTATCTCAGCCAAAACCAGTACAAAAGAAAAGGTACAGGACTCTTTCTCCAGACCCAAATTTTGCTGAATGATCTTATAAAGGACAATAAAACATTATTCAGAATTAAAGTGTAAAATACACGTATAGATTACTTTATATATTTTAAGTTTCTTGCTGATAAATTTGAAATGCAAATCCAATTTGAAACAGAAACCAAAGGTTTACATTAAAGTCATAAAATCCACCAAATTCATGCTAGATGCCTAGTACAAATAACATTGATGTGGTTAATGCTGGATGAATGTGTCTCTTCTGTGCCCATATGAACTGATTTTCTATACATTCTGAGATAATTGTAATGTAATATAACGTGTGAAAAACAGACGTCTCATTTCCCTACTTATGCTTACATCTTTCTTTTACAGATGACACGAGAGCAGTATATATTAGCAACACAACAGAACAGCCTTCCAAGGACTGAACATCCTCAGTTTTACCCAGTAGGGATTTATGGATGGCGAAAGAGGTGCTTATACTTCTTTGTCCTTCTGCTGTTGGTTACCATGATTGTTAATTTAGCAATGACAATATGGATTTTGAAGGTTATGAATTTCACAGTGGTAAGTATTACAGTAACTTTATGTACCTCATTTCTTCAAGTACTAGCTTCTAGGCTTTTTGTTCTTTTTCCTTTACCATGTTATATAAAAATCTAATAATTTTGGAGGAAAAAACGTATGTACTTATTTGAATGCTGGTTCAGATAGTCAAGCTTTTTATATATATTCCACAGTGAGTGGACTGGTGCCCTCTCTTTCTGATGCTTTTGGTTAAAAACACATTTTCTGAAATTATATCTGGATCTTAGACTTTTTTGTTTGCCCAGATCAAGTGTCATGATGACTGCCCCAAGCATCTTTCGATTTCTCGTCATCACAAATAACAAGCAAGAGCAGTTTACTGTATTTATTATGTATAGTATCTCTCTTAGGAGGAAACTGGGTTAGTCATGTCAGTGTATGGTTTTTCTTATCTTTTGTTCTTTGTATTTTTTTTAAAGTTTACTGGAAATTTGGACTGTGTTTCTCCCAGAACTTAGAGTAGCTGTTGTGGTGTTGGTAGGGGGGTAGGCGAGTCTAAAAGTCTCATACTTTAATGAGTCAATCTCTGGCTAGAATCTTTAATATCAGCAAAGTATTTCAGATGTACACTTGAAAGAACATCTGCATTCAATGGAAACTGTGGTAGGAGTGTGCGCTAGCTGGCAGCAGAGTAGTGACTTTTTGTACAGAAAAGTCAGAACTTCCACACAGTTTAAAATAAAAGTGTTTCTGCTAGGACTAGTGCAGTGTTCCTCTCTGGATTTTTACCTTCATAATGTATATTTTGATGTATTTAGTTATATAATTTCAATTCCTATGTCACAGCACATTTCTTCATTATTTTATCAGAAATAGAAGATCAGCCAGCAAAACCAGCATAAAAACTGTGTCTAAAATCGTTCTATATCTGTTGACGATCTGTAATACATTAGATTATCTGAAACTGTTGTCTGGTGAGACGTATTGTGCAAATACATTTATTCTTCTAAGTTTCCGCTAGTGGGTGAACATGTTGAATTAATATTTTGACAACTGTATGATTTTAATATTCACGGACAGAAAAGTTTGTGATAATCTTTTGGAAGGTTGCCTTTTTTCAGAGGGGGCTTTTTTTTTTGCTCTGTTTTTTTCTTTTTTTCAGCACAATGTGCTTTTAAAATAGGATACCCATATATGCTTTTGCCTATTTGAATAATTATTCATTTGTACTGGAAAAATATTTAGGCATAACTCTTTAAGCAATTTTAAAATATAGCTTTTAAAAAGCACAGAATTTTTCTCTGTGCAGAAGATTGCATTCCAATAGAATATTGGAAAGTACTGTTTCCATATCTAGGGATTTTTTGACCATCCACACTACAAGCTGTTTTAACGCTATCAAGTTTAAATCTTTTCAAATTTGATCAGCAGTTTTTAAAATAAAACAAAAAGATAAATTCTGACATATTTTGCTTTCCTTCATGTCAAAGTTTGTTGGAAAGTTAAAAGTTTATGGTGAATTACTAAATCAGTGCAGGATTCTAGTGTAGAAAACAAACAGATCCTTGCAGCACTTATAATAAAACACTTTCTCCTTGATCATATAAAATACATTTTTTAAATTATGTGCTGAAGATTTAATTTACTTCTGCAGACTCATGGAATAGTAGGTAGTCTTCTACTTTGAGTAGATGTTATTCACATTGGTATCTCTGCTAGAAGTGTCATGTTAAAAGTTGAGCAACATCTTCACACTCATGTCCTCACATGCACTTTTGAGCAAGAGTGAGAAATTTGTATGAACTCTGAAAGAGTCACATTCTTAGGTGTAGGTTTTTGACAGTAAAATAATTTCGTTTATAAACCTCAAGTTTGTGTATATAAAAAGGCAATGATGTTGAAATACAAAGATATTTCTTCCATGTACATGTATGTATGTACAGATAGATATAAATGAAGAAATTGTATTTGTATAACTGGAAAGTGATAGGAAATCAGAAGTGCAGCTAGAAACCTCGAGTGTTTGCTCAAAAGAGGAATATATTTATGATAAAAGTAATTGCTGAAATTGGACTGCTTTGACATTTTGACATTGTTTTAAAATAATACTTCCTGTTTTAGCATAAATCAGTGTTGAGCTTTCTATGAAGACAATAGTAATTGCAGCATTTCAAGGGGTCATGAAAAGCCAGGTCATGGTTTGTCATCGCTGTCTGATGATTGCAACACTGTTAATTTGTATTAGCTGTTGCCTTTTCTATTTTTAACTGTAAAGCTACAGCCACTGACAATTTGGCATAATAAAAACCTTGCTGTGGTCAAGGTTCCAGCTGGAAAAGTTTTCTTGAATATACTGACCTTGCACTTAAGAGTCACATTCTAAATCTGAGCAGTCATCCCATGTTCTTTTTATACTCAGAATGTAAAAAAGGGTCTTGTGTAAAGCATTCATCTCAAAGTAAGATAGGCAACTTATATGAATTTTTCTTATGGATAAATGTTGAATAGCTTATCAAATAAGTAATAATAGTAAAAAAAAAAGTTTCTTTGCAATCATATAAAAATATAGTACCAGCAAGGTGTGCAAGTCTCCTTTTATCAGATTATGTAATGTGACTCGGAAAAATAGAGAAATGTTCAGGGATACAATCTCTTCTTCCGGTGTCTAAGGTAAATAAACTTGAAAGGTAACAAATAATTGAAATTACCTTGAAAGTTACAAATAATTTCCCCGATATATAATATGTATCAGATGAGCAAAACAAAAAGTAATTAATATCTGTGTAGCAGGAGTATTAGCGGGAGGAGTCACAGATGTAGTAATAATTTTTGAAAGATGTTTTCCCACTGGTAGCTTAATCTTAGTGTCCTCTAATATCTAGTTGAACTTTGTTACCTCACTGTTAAATTATCTTTTTAGAAAGATGTGGCCAAGGAGGCCAATGGCATCTTGGTCTGTATCAAGAGCAGTGTGGCCAGCAGGACTTGGGACATGGTTATGCCCCTGCACTTGGCACTGGTGAGGTCACACCTCAAGTACTGTGTTCACTTTTGGGCCCCTCACTTCTAAAAGGACATTGAGGTCCATGTCTGTAGACAGGCAACAGAAGTGGCAAATGGTCTAGAAAACATATCTTATGAGGAATGGCTGAGGGAGCAGGGGGTGTTTAGCCTGGAGAAGAAAAGGCTGAGGGGGAGACCTCATCACTCTCTACAGCTGCGTGAAAGGAGGATGTAGTGAGATGGGGGTTGTTTTCTTCTGCCATGTCTCAAATGAACAAATGAGAAGAAGTGGCCTTAAGCTGTGCCAGGGGATGTTCAGATTACATATTAATTTCTTTTTCAATGAAAAAGTAGTTAGACATTGAAATAAGTTGCCCAGGCAAGGTGTGAAGTTATCTCTGGAAGTGTTCAAAGGGCATCTGTATGGTTCAGGGGTGGTCGTGGTGGTACTGGGGAGATGGTTAAACTGGATAATCTTTAAGGTCTGATTTTCAAAGGAGATGTGCAAAATATCTTGGAAAAATCAAGCCAGGAAATAAAATCTGTAAATTTTTTTACTATATAAAATAATAGCCTAAGGGGACTTGGGTTTCATGGAACGCTTATGGTTTCCTTTCCTTGCACTAACCTTGGCATGGTTCACAGGCTCCCCCATGGAATTGTCTGTCTTTCACTTTCCATCAGGATGTAATTACCTCTCACTTAGTCTATGCTGTATGAGTTTAATGAAGCTCAGAGCTGTTAGTCACACTTTACCTGTCTGTACAGTTACTATACTAGGGATTTCAGGAAGGATGGACACTCAAGTTATGACTTGGTGGTACCAGAGCTAAGGGGTAAAATATTAATGGTTTTGTGTTTAGAACATTCTGGTTATTTCATATATGTAATATATATGAATTTTAAAGGCTTGTGAAGAAAGAAATATTTTTTTGCTGTGTCTGCATTCTTGTCAACCCATATTTACATGGACTACAGCAAAAGTAATTAGCTGATTTTTTTTAAAGACCTAATCACTTTATCATTATTCTCCAACACATTTTTTATTTTGCATCCTCTTTAAGTTTTTTAACCTCAACAGAATCATAGTTTTATATAATTTATTCTTCATATAGCTGTTAATGAATAAGGCATATTGACACTCTGTCAATCTGTTTAATTACTTTTTAAAAGAGACTTACTATATATTTTTGTTACTAACCAAATACCAGTGTAGCAATACATGACTGAAAGTTTTCTGCATGTATTTCAAGTTAGCTTTAAAAAGGGGAATTCAAAGCATTCCCCTCTTATTGTTGGGATGTGACATTGTGAAATAACATGGAGCAATCAACACAGAAGTGTAGGTTCAGCTCTTGGTGGAGGAAGCATTTAATAACACCTCTTTGATACATTTTCTCATATGTGCACAATTGGCATTGATATTGACACATTTAATATCGTGTTTTACCTTTGCTTATTACATGATATTGATGTCTGGAGTTTACTAAAGCTTAAAAAAATGGTACTGTTAGAGAAAATGCTCATGTAGCTCTTCGATCCCTTTTTGTGTCCTGTAGCAGCCACAATTGGCATTGATGGTACCAAGTTATTTTAGTGGATTTGGTTTTACATCTGGTTTTGTGTGTCTTCATTTTCTGATTACCCCAAGGAATCCATATATGAAAAGACATTCTATGACCCTCTGTAAGAATGCAGCCACCTACTTCAGATGTTTTCTCTTGCTGTAGCTGCAGTGTTGCAGTCAGTTTTGACTGCTGTTGTGACACAATGTTGTCTGTATTGATCCATGTTAAACTCTTCTTGCCAGTACTACCATGGGAATTACTTTTAAGATCAGGGGCCAGACAAGTTATCTGGGTAGAGACAGTTTATTTCTCCAGGAACTTTGATGAATGCTTTGTCTTCAGACATAAGCAGAGTGTAAAGAGCAGTTTGAGTTTCCTGGCTGGAATGCTTGTGCTTCATGCCCCAGCTGAGCATACTCTCTTTGCTGGCTGCCTAGCTCTGGATCCACATTGTATGGACAGCAGGTT